TTAGTCTAAACACACAACGTCATTACTACCTATATTCTATCCAGTCACGGTTTTTCCAAAGAAAAATCGTGACACTATGTTTATATATTTAGAAATCATAGCCAATTGTAGCATCCAATCAAATGCAAAGTTTTGTAGAAGAACGCTATTTCACATTCATGTAAACCATACTCTTCGTTTTCACTTACAGAAAACTCTGTTTTTGGTACAATAACTTATTAGACCATTAATATCATTAACCAAATATTTAAACATGTTGGGCTAGATTAGTACAAAAGAAAAAGAAAAGACTTATATTGCCATTATGCAAAGCAAAATTCTACCACACTACATATTATATTCAATGTCGCAGCTATGCTGAAATTGGCTGATGCGGAAATTTGGACCTATTTTGAAATTTTAAAAAAATTTTGGAGTGTTTTTTTACCACTTTTTTTTATAGTAGGTTAGGATTTAGGGTTAGTATTTATAACTAAAGAGTATATATGGATTCTAGCAGGACCTATGTTTTAAAATTGGAACCCCAAATTTCAGCATCAGCCAATTTTCAGCATCAGCCGCGACATTCAATGACAATTAGAAAGATAATTAAAAAATTCTAACAAAAGCAAAAGAGACTTGTATTTACAACAAGCAATAACAATAAAAAAGACTATATAGTAATATAGCAATATCACAATTTAAACATATTTTACAAAGAATATTTAGTTACTCAAAAATATGATTAAATTGTGATTAATAGCAACATGATTAATTCATAAATTCAAGCCAAAATTCAATTATCAAATCAAAAATCAGACTTTATCAATAATATCTTTATTTTCTTATTGATCAAACTATTATGAATATATATATAGTATACTGTACAGAAAATAATTTGGTACTGTATTTTATAAATTTGGAAAAGATATAATACAGTATGAAGATACATATATAAAGATAATTTTGTACTGGATTGTATAGAATTTAAAGTAAAGATCAATATAGTATAAACTATGTAAATATATATAAATACCAATTCACTAACTACTAATTATAGCATGATTATAGATAATTCGGCCTTCGGATCTCATCTTATTTTGATACATCTATATATATATACTGTCGAATTTCTTCATGTTGAACTTTTTTATATTAGATTAAGCAAAATCATTTACTCTGCAGCTTACGATTGCATTTCTAGTTAATATAAAAAATTTGTTAAAATTTTTTTTTTATTTGAAATCTGCAGTAATTATTAAAGACTGATCTTGATCAGATTCATTTGAACTGACACAAGGAAAAGATTTACTTGAGAGTTTTGAATGTGTTTGTTTAGTTGTTTGTTCATAATATTCAAGTACTGTTTTGGATTCGTTTAACTCTTTCAAGATTTTTTCATCGTTTTGCCATTTTTCGAAAATTCCACGGAGTTCTTCGGCCGATGGTCGTTTCTCTGGATCTTTATCCCAACATTCTTTCATCAATTTCACATAACTATATGGTGCTTCTTCGTTAACAGGGGGTCGTTCGCCAGCATATATTTGGTTCATGAGGCTTATATCATGATCTCTTTCGCAAAATACAATAATCCCATACAAGATTTCCCACATGATTATACCTAATGAATAAATGTCGGACTTCGTAGTATATGGTTCTCCAATTAAACCTTCTGGAGAAATATAAGGTATAATCCCACAAACAATGCCTTTCTTTTGTTCATTTGAATATTGAATTGAAAGACCTAAATCCGCGACGTATGCGTTGTATAGGTTGTCTTGCAAGATATTGCCACTGTGCAAATCTCGATGTACAAAACCTCGAGAATGAATTGCTTCAATGTCGGAAAAAATACTGTGTAATAAACTTAATTTATCTTTCCATTCCATTTGCGCTATATGATTGAGATTTTCACATAAAGATCCCATTTTGGCATATTTCATAACCAGTATTAAATTTTTTGAATCATCATCTTTTGAGATCCCGTAACACTCTAAAAAGGACGGATTCTTATAACCAATATCACAATATGCTTTTAACTTTCAAAATAAAGTAAAAACTGTTAAAAACTTTTTTTTATACAGGATATAATAATTGTTAAATAATAAACTTACCTCTTTAATAAATTCTTTGGGACAATTACTAGACTTATGAATTAGTTTAAGCACAACAGTATCGATAAGACCTCTAGCTGTATTATCCCAATTTGCAGAATACACTGTCGCAAATCCACCTTGCCCAATTTTTGTGATATTTTTTAATTCGTTATAAGGAATCCAAAATAATGGGTATTCAGTTTCAAATAGCACCTTTTGTAAATCGTCATCGATATCATAATTTTCATAAGATGATTTACTGGCAACTAAAAAGAAAAAATTAATTTTGAATAAATAATTAAAAGAAACAAAACGGTAAAATTAAAGTAAATTACCTAAAATATGTTCTCTTTCTCTATTTTTATCGGTAAATTAAATTTATAATAATAATTAAGTATAAATTATATAACAATAATAATAATAATAATAATAATAATAATAATAATAATATAATAATAATAATAATAATAATAATAATAATAATAACCTACCTTTGGTACCAATAGTTTGCTTTCTCTAAATTCCTTGATGTACCAATTCCATTTCGGAAACAATAAGCAACATGAAAAAATGCACGAGTATTACCCATCTCAGCAGATTTTAGCGAATAAGAAAACCCCTTATTTATATCTCTTTCGACTCCAATTCCGTTCATATAACAAATTCCGCAATTGAATATTCCAAGATCGTTTTCTTTATTAGCAGACTTTTCATAATATTCGAATGCCTTACATTGATCTACTTCGACTCCAATTCCTTTTTCATAACAATATCCAAGAGAGAACATTCCATAAGCGTTTCCCATGTCTGCGGCTTTTTGAAAATATTCAAATGCTTTGATCTCATCTCTTTCAACCCCAATTCCACTAAAGTAAAATTGACCAACATTATATATTCCATCTACTAAACCCATCTCAGCAGATGTTTGAAAATGTACAAAGGCTTTGTGCTTATCTTTTTCAACTCCAGTTCCACAAAGATAGCATTGACCAACAGCAAATATTCCATCTGCCAAACCCATTTCAGCAGATTTTTGAAAATGAACAAAGGCTTTGTGATTATCTTTTTCATTTAAACCCTCATAAAATGTTCTTTTAGCATGGTCTATATCACCAGATTTTTGATGGCTAACAAAAAACCTTCGATCATCTCTCTCAGTTCTTTTTTCATTATAATTATCTTTCGCAAGTATTTCTGTCGAATTATAAAAAAACTCATGATATTCATTCCTATCAATAGTCAATTTTAATTTTTTATATTCATCATAGTAATAACGTGATTTATATAAATCTTTTTCAGTCCCTATTCCAAGACGATAATATTCTGCAAGCTTCCCTGTTGCAAAGCAATTTCCAAAATCAGCGGATCTTTGATAATAAGTAAATGCTTTACATTCATCCTTTTCAACGCCAATTCCGTTTTCGTAGCAATAGCCAAGTGAAAACAATCCATTAGGGTCATTCATTTCTGCTGATTTTTGATAATAATTAAATGCTTTATTTTCATTCTTCTCGATTCCTATTCCCTCCTGATAAAACCTACCAACATTGTAAATTGCAGGAGAATATCCCATATCTGCAGATTTTGTAAGCAAATCAAAAGCTTTAAGTTCGTCCTTTGTGACTACTAGTCCATTAGCATAATAAAATGCAAGATTATTCATTGCAGCAGCATTTCCCTTGTTAGCAGATTTTTCATATTGAACGAAAGCCTCATTATCATTCTTTTCTATACCTATCCCACGGCGATAACAATATCCAAGATAATAAATTGCTTTGGAATTTCCCATTTTAGCAGATTTTTGAAAATAATCGAATGCCATTTTATTTTGTTTCAAATCTAGATAACATACACCAAGTTCGCATAAACCATCAGCATCATCCATCTCGGCAGCTTTTTGAAAATATTCGAATGCCTTTTTTTCATTCTTTTCAACTCCAATCCCTTCTTTGTAACAATACCCAATTCTATACATTCTTCTTACGAAACTCTTATTAGCAACAGATTGTTTAAATGTTTTAGCTTCAGAACAGTAATCATTCTCAACTATACAATCATTCTTAATTATTCCATCAACATCATCCTTATATCCAGGCTCTAGAGCAGTGAATAATAAGTAATTATTCAATGCTTCATTATTCTTTGCATCGAAATTGAGTAGATCCTTCATTTTATTAGAAAATTCAGACGCTTTCTTTTCATCTTTCTCAACACGATATCGCACTTGTAGTGCAAGCTCAACTAAATCTTTATCCATATTTAAAGATGCACATTTTCTGCTTAACGATTTATAATTTTTGGTGTGGCTATCTTTATTAAATTTGGCTATTGTATGAGGGCAAATTCAGCAAGGACAACCATAGAATGTCGGACACGCACGCTTAGGGTGTTCATCAAATCGGTAAATCAAAAAATATATATATCAGGATTTTTTATGGTTTTTTTAATAACTCAGAATTTTCGGAAAACTAACTTTTTTAATTTAGTGATAAATGTGGAATATTGTAATCACACCTTTTTTAATACAACTAAAAGTACACTTTTTGGGCGAAAAATTCAATTTTTTACTCCATATATTTTTTTTAATCTATAGCCTTTATTATGCTCTTTTCAACAATAACTTCGGTTTTACAATTTTAATAGCTTTGTTTCGTCGAATTTAGTTAAAGAATTAACTTGTAAAATGAAATAAATCAAAAATTCTCTATTACATTAAATTACACGAAGTTCTTTATTTTAAAACTAGTGCGATAGGTGGCGCAAAGCACCACCTATCTTATTCAGTAATTTAATAATTGTTACAAATCATCAAATACTAAAATTAGGTAAATTTTGTTTCTTTTCTTTTCATTCTTTTTTTATTGCTTTTTTAGTGTTTTTTTTATCACTTTTTTGATGCTTCTTTTGCTGCCTCTTTTGTTGTTTTCTTTCAGTTTTTTTTTGTTGTTTTTCAGTGTTTATTTCAGTGCTTTTTTCGTCACTTTTTTGGTACTTCTTGTTGCTTTTTCAGTGCTTCTTTCATTATTTTTTTCAGTACTTTTTTCATTGTTTTTTCATTGCCTTTTTTGTTGTTTTTCATTACTTTCATCTCTTTTTCAGTGCTTCTTTCATTATTTTTTCATTGCTTTTGTCACTTTTATTGTTTTAGCCACTGCTTCACTGATCTCAACATTGATTTCAATGTAGACTTTAATGTTAACCT